ATGGCATACCATTTGCAATAGTAGACAACCCAAGGTATTGCAAACAGGGTATGTCTTTTTCAGTAGCCACTTAGTCACAAACACTGGCCAAAATTGGCGTTTTTTGCATTTTTCACACACAAATACTAATGCTAACTTTGGCCAGTGTTTGTGACCAAATGGCTACTAAAAAAGACTGGACATACCCCATTTGCAATACCTTGGGTTGTCTACTATTGCAAATGGTATGCCATTATGGGTGTAAATTTCATTCCTGAGCTACTATACAGTCTCAAAGGCAACGTAACCAATCTGGCGAATTTCAATTTCAAATGTAACGTGTTATATTTGACCCTGTAACTTCCCAAAACGCCATAAAACCTGTACATAGGGGGTACTGTCTTACACGTGAGACTTTGCTGAATACAAATATGTGTATTTTATTGCAGTAAACGCAAACAGTATTATGACATTGACAGTTAAAATGTCATGTAGAACTAAAAGAATTTTAAAAAATCTTATTTTCTCCCATTTTTTTTCATATTAAATTACATTTCATAGCTAAATATTTGATATTAAATGAAAGCCCTGTTTCCCCTGAATAAAATGATATATAATAAGGGTGGGTGCATTTACTATGAAAGAGGTGAATTATGGCTGAACAGACATGTAGCGCAAATGCCAGGTTTTGTTTACATTTTGTTTTGTTCACAACGTGTACATTTGGCTCCGTCCTTAAGGGGTTAAAGGAATTGTTTTCTTAAGGGCACAGTATCTAATAAAATTGGTTGGTAAGATATAATACAGAAACAAAACAGTAAATAATATTAGCAAGAAACTCATGAATATTATTATGCGTGGATTAAAGGAACGGTTCTCTTAATGGTACAGTCTCTCATAAAAACAGTAAGTAAATATTGTATTTTATTATTATTTTTAAATCGTATGTGATACATTTTAGAATATTATTATTTATTTTTAAAATCAAATATATGGTTAAAAAAATAAGGTTCATATAATACTATGGGCTCGGTTCGGTTCGGCACTTCCGAAATTCGGGACTTCGGCAATTCGGCACTTCGGTTCGGCACTTCCGAAATTTGGCACATTAGCAATTCGGCACTTCGGTTCGGTTTGGCACTTCCGAAATTCGGGACTTCGGCAATTCGGCACTTCGGTTCGGCACTTCCGAAATTTGGCACATTAGCAATTCGGCACTTTGGTTCGGTTTGGCACTTCCGAAATTCGGGACTTCGGTACTCGGGAATTTGAGACTTTGGCAATTCCCTAACCCTTTCCCTAACCCTACCCCTTACCCTAACCCTACTCATAACCCTAACCCTAACCCTACCTCAACCTCTCACCCTTACCCTACCCCTAACCCTACCCAAATGCCTGGTGGGCCGCGATGGCCATGGGCCAAGGACACCAGGGGAGATCAGTGTATCTCCCCTGCCGGCCCATGCAGAGCCAGCGCTATAAGAGCACCGCCGGCCCTGCTGTGTGCCTTCATGAGCCAGTGTGGAGACTGTGGGGATATTTATGGGATAATAATAGTAACAGTTGAGAATTGCCCACTAATTCAATTCTCAGATCCCAAAGAACGTTTATCGTAAGTGAAATGTATTTCATATAATTAAAATCGCAATGTATAAAAATAGATTTTTATTTATATGACAATCAATAATTAACAAATAATATTATGTAACATGCATGACAATAATCAATGAATATCCAGTATAAAATGGTATGCAATACAAAGAAATGGGTATTACGTTACAATGGCTAAATAGCATTTCCTGTCAAGAATTATTTATGACTATCTTTAACACAGGCTGAAAGTGAAACTTTTCACAGGGAAGAACAGAATTCCTCAGAGTGCAGCGTAAGGTCGTAAAGTTTAGCAGACAGTTAGAATAACCCTTTCAATGCTGGCAAGATCTCCTAGGTAGTTAAGATCTATTCTTATGTAATTTTTAAATAAAATAACATTTAAACCAGTTTAAATTCATTTTCTTAAACCATCCAATAAGAGAATCTACATATTATATAAGCAGATTTTTAATTTGTCTAAAAGATATCTATCTTAATTTAGAGCAAATCAATACACCTGGATAAAAACAGCGGTATGCTAACACGTGATAATATCACATCAATATATAATTATTCTTAATTCCACCTGCAGAATGGAATATTTATAACTATATATTCTTTAGTTAACTAAGATTTCTTAATATGGAAATCTGACCGTGCTTTATCCAGTCATATATAATGCTATTAATACATTTTAATTAATTTAATTTAATTAAATGAAACCAGTATAATTACCAGTTGAGTAGATATTTCATCCGATTGGTAGTCTCTCTGCATGGAGGTGTTGGTTAGAAAGTCAGTAAATTCTAAGTGTTAGAGTTTTAGGAGTAGAGTGTTATTCTCAGATGTTGTCCGAGTTGGAGTCCCCAAACTTCCAATTCCTCTCTCCTCTCCTTTGCATCTCTTGCATCTGCCTCCTCTCTCGTATATCTTGTATCTCTATCTTCCCTTTGTCTTAACTTTTAAAGGGCCAGACTCTCTGTACGTCATCAGTTGATAACCCAATAGAAGCACTAGAGGTGTGGTTATCTTCCAGATCACAAATTAGTTATTTGGTCTGTAGAGGGCAGTCTTGTCCCACTAAACATACCTATCCAGGAAAGAGTTAACTTTTCCTGGTGGCTATTTTGACGTCATTTTGGCCTATCTAGATAGTGGCTATAACTTACGTATCCTTCAAAGATCAAAGGGATTCTTAAATTTTGTCCAGACTATGTGTCTGCAAATCTGCTATAATTTCTGATATGACAGATCATGAACTAAGTTTACCCTTTTCCATACAATGGTACCTTATATATATAGACAGTTAAATATTCAATTTAATCTTCTTTGTCACAATTGTCTGGGTTTAGATTTGATTATATTCCATTAGCATTAGACAGTCTGTCCAACCCCCTTCCTTATCACTTGGCTTGTATATACTATGCATTCCTCAGCTCTGGGAAAGTGGTTAGCTTGCAGATAGAAATATAGTGTCTTTTTGTTAACTTGAAATAACAAAATGGAGTCTGGTCTGTTCAGAGTGACTCAGAATATACACTTTTAGTTTCTATCATAGCACAAGATGTCTGCCGATATAAATACCCTGACAAGACAAACTATCTCCCAACCGGCCCATAGGCACTGAGATACGGCTGCCGGGGGAGAGAAGGACCCGGGGGACATAAATATAATAAACAAAAATACACATATATATGTTGTTTATTTTAACCCCCATAGCACCCAAAACATCACACTGCACCCCAAACAACACAGAGCACCCCAAACACACAGTGCACCCCAAACACACAGTGCACCCCAAACACCACAGAGCACCCCAAACACACAGTGCACCCCAAACACCACAAAGCACCCAAAACACACAGTGCACCAAACGCATCACTGCCTATACTTCTACCATTTAGGCACCCAGGTTATTCATTCATTACCTCCATTCAGTGTACTACCTCCCCCTATTAGTACACGATAATCTGAGGAGGAGGATGGTTTGGCTCCGTTGTCTAAGTGGGGGTGCCCTCGAAGGCATATTACAACTTTATTGCTAAGATACTATCCTCTGCTTTTCTACAGAAGTTGGAGAATTTAGCAACACTGTAACTGTACGTTCTGACTAAAACTGTTACAGTTTCTAGAACCTATAGCTGTAATTCCTTAGTTAATTCTGCACCCTGTAGGAATATTTGAGTGATTCCACTATCTCCCTCTGCGTATATGTGGTATTATCAAATTGCCTACTTAAATTACACTATTTTGTGCACCCTATACACCCTAATAATTTGGAAGGCAGTAGGGACCAATATTCTATATGGCTTTATTATTATTTCTTTGTGTTTTTATTTAGTTGTTTGCCAATTTTAACCCCTTAAGGACACATGACGGAAATATTCTGTCATGATTCCCTTTTATTCCAGAAGTTGTGTCATTAAGAGGTTAATATAATTGATTAAAGGTTAAGTTTATAATACAATCTGGATCCTCCACTCCCTAAAAAACACATTTTTTTCTTTTCTTTTTGGTTGTATTTTTCTATTTTATATAGGCTTGTTTGAGGTAATCCCATCAATAATATACAACTTATGTTACAGATTTAAACTATGAAGTGTTTTATATAGGATTTTTTAACTTATGCTTTCACTTGGTACTTCTATTCATTGTATTTTTATTTGTTTTAAACATAGGATATTATACTCTTCTATATGAATGTGTTTTTATGGGGATGTGTTTTGTATTGAAGTGTGTTTTCGAATCATGCATAGATTTCTTCCCAATATTTACTTACAGTTTTTTTGTATTTTTAACCAGTTTTATGAGGGACAGCACTACCAATATACGTATGTTTTGGTTCATTTATGGCACATAGTAAAGGAAGTGTCTTTTCTGGTTCAGTAGCTTTTATTATTATTATTATTATTTTAATTTAAGCGTTATTGTTAGTCTTTGGGTGCGCTCTAAATAAGAGAACAGTACATTCATTTTGTTTATCCATATTTATGCTTTCTTTTACTAAGTCACAAAGACTCTATCCGTATGTTCCTTGGAGTGTGCATGTGTCTGAGAAACTGTATCGGGTTATTCACTAAAGCGATAACTCTAAGTTACTTTCACATTTAAGGACAAAGTAGCCAAACTGAAAGCATAGCGGAATCAGAGAATGTTTTACATTTAGGCTGTTTTGACCCTAAATTTAAAAATCACCTAGTCCTAATGAATAACCCCCTCTGTGTTTGTGTATGCATTCTTGTGCCTGTCTGAGAGAGAATGGGGGTCATTAGTGACAGGAGCCCAATATGTTGCCACACTGTGACATGTGTTAAACTACACTTCCCGTGATGCTCAGCTAATGGGAAGGGGGGGGGGGGATTAGCCTTTATTATTTATAGAATAACCAAAGACTACATTCTCTTCGGATTCTACTTTTAATCAGCACCATCACCACTTATCCTCCCGCAGTGCAGCAGCTCAAACTTATCTCGCCTGGAATCAGGCAGCAGGCAGGCAGCCCTGTGACGTCACACCGAGCGCCCGCTGCAGGGTGAAGGACCCCGGCGCAGATTGTCCCCTCCGGGAAGGACAGAGCGATGTTTGTCAGGACTGCGGTCCGAGCTTGGCGGCTGACCGGGACCCCGGCGGCGGCTGTGACCGGGGTGAGGCATGGCTGACACTGTTTGCGATGATTTATTGTCTGCCAGTCTTATCGCAGCCAAGACATGACCCCAGCCCTGGCTCTCCGGGGAGGCTGGATACCGGGACTAGGGTGGCTGGCTGAGGGTTACCGGGACTCGGTGTGGCTGGCTGAGGGTTACCGGGACTCGGTGTGGCTGGCTGAGGGTTACCGGGACTCGGTGCGGCTAGCTGAGGGTTACCGGGACTCGGTGCGGCTGGCTGAGGGTTACCGGGACTCGGTGCGGCTGGCTGAGGGTTACCGGGACTCGGTGCGGCTGGCTGAGGGTTACCGGGACTCAGTGTGACTGGCTGAGGATTACCGGCATTAGTGTGGCTGGCTGAGGGTTACCGGGACTCAATGTGGCTAGCTGAGGGTTACCGGGACTCAGTGTGGCTGGGTAAGGGTTACCGGGATGTAGTATACAAACATGGCGGATATGGTAACTCTATAGCTCTCTTACTAGCTGCTGCCTGTGTCTCAGTGACATGAGGTGTCCATGCATGCCTGAGTGTAATCTAATAATTGAATATTTTGTTTATTGGTGAAGTTCTGTGTGAGAACCATTCACTGGCCTGGTTTGGAGAGGGTTTGTCTTCTTGACAGGTTTCACATTTGCATTGACTCCAAACTGACAGATGACCTTTTGCAGGTCTTGGATCAGCAATGTGAAAAGGACACGGTAGTCACCCAGACCAGTTCATCGCAATGAAGTGATCAAGGTGCAGTGACCCTGTGGGTGAGACCCCGTAATGTAAAATATTGCAGTTTCTCCCCCAGATACTGCAGTGTTTTCATTGCAAACCTAAAAAAAAACTATAGTGTGGGAATAGAAAACTGTGTTCCTAACACTATAGGAACACTTTGCCGTGTCCCCCAGCTATGAGAGCGTTAAATAACCCCATAAACACACGATCTCAGCACTGGGCCAGGCTGCACAGACGTCAGCCAATAGAGGGGAACTTAGTGCGCATGTGCAGCAAGTACCGCACATGTATTTGGCCTTTCACAAAGGAAAGCATTGACTCAATGCTTTCCTATTGGAATTGTCAACACGCTGGATTTCTTTATGCAAAGCCAAAGCGTGAGGACATACAGGTCGTTTCAGGGAGTCAAACGCTTTGACAGTGCAGGAGGCGCCGTAGACGGCCACTAGAGGCAGTGTTAACACTGCAATGTTTTACCTTGCAGGGTTAAGGGAACAGGGACACTGCACCGAGACCACTTCAAGGAAATTAAGTGGTCTGGGTGCGGAAAGTGTCCCATTAAATCCACTTACGAAGAGGAGATGGTTCACAGGCTATTTGTTGGGGTCTTGTTTTCAAACCTCAAATCTAAGTTCAAATTAGTTGAACTCTCAGTTTAGTAATTAACCTTGTTAGTGTATGTAGCAGAATTTTTTTTAAAATTTTTTTTTATGTCCTGTTTCTTTGCACAGGCACAGCTTCATGTAAGCTCCAGGAATGGGTTGAAATATGGCTTCTGGAGGTATGTTCTTGGTGAGAGGAGTACAAAGAAATTTGGGGAACACAGCAAGATAATCACTGTCGATGGAAATTTGGCAACCGGCAAGGGAAAGCTGGCACAGCAACTGGCAGAAAAATTAGGTGAGGTTAAAAAAACCAAAATGTGTGTGTGTGTGTGTATATATTATGAAATTGTAATTACTCCCCAGCTATACTTCCAGTTAGGCTACTTTTCTATAAAAAATTGAAATTACTTCCAATGGTGCACATAGGAGGGAGTGCTCTGTGTGTAAAAAGCCTGTGTAACCCTTCCCACAATTACAATTCCCACAATTACAGGCTCCACCTCCGTCAGGGAAACAAAGCAGAGAAAGAGTGTACGTTGGTTGCGGTGTAATTCGGTTGTGGTGTGCTGAAACAGATGTTTGACTTAGGCCTTGTAAATAATGAGGGCAAAAAGGTTTAACAATGCAATACTTTAATACGTAAAACATTACATATCCAGATCCTTAAAGGGACACTGTAGTCACCCAAACAGTTTTATCTTAATGAAGCAGTTTTTGTGAATAGATCATGTCTCTGAAGTATCACTGCCATTTATGAGTAAAATCACTTTTGTTTCTGTTTATACTGCCCTAGTCACACATCCCATAGCTGTGAGTGGAATTGTTTCATTTACAAGCAGATATATCTTACTTTAAAAGTTTTTCTCTTGCTCTGTAATTAGAACTTTAATTACATGCAGGAGGCCCCTGCAGGGTCTAGCAGGTTATTAACAGGGAGGCTGGATACCGGGACTCAGTGTGGCTGGCTGAGGGTTACCGGGACTCAGTGTGGCTGGCTGAGGGTTACCGGGACTCAGTGTGGTTGGCTGAGGGTTACCGGGACTCAGTGTGGTTGGCTGAGGGTTACCGGGACTCAGGGTGGTTGGCTGAGGGTTACCGGGACTCAGTGTGGCTGGCTGAGGGTTACCAGGACTCAGTGTGGCTAAGGGTTAACTCCTCCTCTAGTGGCTGTCTACTAGACAGCCACTAGAGGGCACTTCCGTGTCTATAGGTTTTCTGTGCTAGAGCGTCGCTGGACGTCCTCACGTTGTGTGAGGACCTCCAGCGTCACTCAATTCCCCATAGGAAAGCATTGAAAAGCATTTTCAATGCTTTCCTATGGAGAGCTCAAATGCGAGTGCGCAGCATTGCCGCGCATGCGCATTAGATTTCCCCGGCTGATGTAAGGAAGGGGAGGAGCGGCAGCAACCTGAAACCACTGCCGAGGGATATCGGTGGGGGTCTCAGGTAAGTGACTGAAGGGGTTTTCACCCCTTCAGCAACCAGGGATGGGGGGTGGGAGGGAGAGGACCTGCAGTGCCAGGAAAACGGATTGTTTTCCTGGCACTGGAGTGTCCCTTTAAGTTTAGAAAGCTGTTTATTGAGTATGGTACAAGTGAGTTAATACATGCGTGAAAAGAACATCAAACAAACTGGACACGCAGGTCCTAATATCAATATCAATACTATCAAAGTATTTAGTGCTATTTAGCTAAACATATTTCCATAATGCGGGACAGATATTGGCTAAGGATACATCATAACTGAATCTTGGTTGAGACCATACCATGACTGGCCCAATGGGCTCTTAATCTGGCCCTGGGAGTAAGATGTTGCAGTTACTTGAATTGACCCTCCCCTTTGTTTGGATCTTGCGATATTCATAATATACAACTGCTATAGAAGAGGAAAAACAGAAAGTTTATTTATATATTTTTCTTTTTTTTTTCTTTTTCCTCTTGTTACTACTGACCTGCTTGGGAAAGGGGGGACCTTTTTTGTAGGTGGAGGTTACTTGTCTCTCAATAAAGAGACACTCCACTGCCCAAATACAAAATAAATAAATTCATTGCTTAGTAGATATAACACAAATGAACAGTTGCATGCATTTAATTTTGCAATTTTTCATTAGCTATATCTAAAAACAGCTTGCAAAACCTGCATTTCTCTTGTCTGCAGCCTTTGCAAGTCCTCCCCTTCTATCCCCGCCCAGACTTTGTGGCTGTCCAATCACAGACTTCCCAATACATCTCATTGTGACATTTTTGCAAAACTGGTGCCCTGAGAAATTGCTGCCTCATGCGTTTAGCTCCAATGAGCTAAACAGACCATGAAGTAACCGGACCAGTTGTTTGCTTGACAACCAGGGGGTGTAACCAGGTTCATTTACAAAAGTTCCAATTTCTATTAAAGGGACAATCTAGTTACCCAGACCACTTCAGCTCAATGTGCCAGGTCAGAGAAACTGCTATGTTTACATTCCCGGGTTAATCCAACCTCTAGTAGCTGTCTTTCTGAAATGCTTTTCTACGGAGTGTTAGAATGCACGGCTCTTGCTGCGCATGCGCATTCTATTCCACTCGGGAGCTGACATCAGCGGGGGGGGAGATGTCACCAGCGCCGAGGGAGCACGGCGCTGGATTAAGGTAAGCTGTTGAAGGGGTTTTAACCCCTTCAGCGCCACGAGAGGGGGACCCTGAGGGTTAGGGTCCCCCAAGGATGACCTAGTGTAAGGAAAACAGGTTTGTTTTCCTGACACTATAGTGATCCTTTAAATTCTATGCAATTTGTGCAAAATAGAAAAAAGATGACACACACTTTACACATAAAGCATTTCAGCAAGCTAAAAGGGCTTTAGGGGTCTGAACAGTCTCTTTAACAATGTGATTGCTGACTCCCAAACAGAAAAGAAACCAGGTTCAAAGGAAGGAAAATAAATAAAACATTGGTGGTGTGGGTATAATCCAAAAGCTTGAAAAAACATTTTGGTTTATGTCAATCCAAACAAGGAGCTAAAAGGTGCAAAAAAAATTCTTTACATGTATTGTGCCTCTCGAACCTTTCTTCTTCCTCTGTCCCACTCATTATAAAGTTGATCAAGACCTTTTAAACATGTGCCAAGATTCTGCTTAGTCTTACATGTTCTTTAATTTCTCTTTTTCTAGGCATGCGGTATTTTCCAGAAGCTAATATATATTACATGGATGATTCTACTGATGGAAATTTTCTACCTGCCAAATTTAATGGCCATTGCAGTCTGAAGGATTTCTATGATAACCCTAAAAACCCTGATGGGAACTCCTACCGCCTGCAGCTGTGGATGTACTGCATGCGTTTCATGCAGTATTCAGATGCACTGGAACATCTCCTCAGCACAGGTATTCTATTCTCACTTGGACGTCCTGCCTATAATTGCTTTTATCACACTGGTCACCAATATAGGCTTCAACATAAATAGTTTGGATCAGCGTTAAAAAGAACACGAATAACTTTTCAAATCATTTTATCTGTAGGAGTCTCAATAAAGCTTATGGGAATTTTAACAAACTGTAATAATTTTTGATGCCAAATGAATTAAATCAAGGCTGTTTGGGGTATCACCACACATATGGGTACCATTTAGTGACATGGGCCCCAGGTGCCAAATGTATATCTTGTTACAGAAAATGTAATCCATTAACTCCATCCATCAGAGGTATTCTACTCACCATAAAACAGTCTCTGAACCCTCACTGATTTTAGATAATGCCAGTATGAAATGTTGTCAGAGAGACCTCTCAGGGATCAGTTCCTGCAGGCCTTGTATCGAGTGAGATTTGTTGACCTCCCAAAACCAAGCATGCAATGTTCTCCTTGCCTACAGCTTTTGTGTTGATGGTTGCTATTGTTCATTTTATTATGGTTTTTAATTTTCTTTTTCTACTATGATTATCCTTTAGGTAGGATATCCATATTCCCCGTTATAATTTCAATTTGTGGGAAGGAGGTTTAAAAAATGGCTCACAATGGTGTGATAGTGTTTATTCAACACCGACTAGAATAATGAGTACTTACAGAGTGTTACTATAGCATTCCACGTTCACTGTATTCTACTGTTGATTGTGGGTTCCAGAGTTTTAGTTTCTGTGTCTCCAATTACTAAAGACTATAAATTGTGCCCCTTAAAAGCATTTACTTTACTGTGCTGGGACTTCCTGGATTAAATACTCCAATTCTAGTGCATTCCATAAATCTTTGGCTCACTTCACTACTAAATGCATGTATTTAATGATTGGAGAGCAAGATGTTTGATCTAATTTGTTTGATTTTCATCTCACAGGTCAGGGAGCAATTCTGGAGAGGTCCCCATTTAGTGACTTTGTGTTTCTGGATGCCATGTTAAAGAATGAATACATCCGCAAGGAATGTAAGCAAGCATGAATAAATAACACCACTACATCTACTGTATGCATGCATTAAAACACTTGGCCATTTACATACATGCTAACCTATAAATGGATAGCTGTGTACTCCTTTCTGCCAGTACATTTATCCATCTGTGCGCGATATTAACCCCTTAATAACTGGTATCCTCCGCAGTCCTGAGTCCTTTTGTAAATCCGTTATCGCTAAATGTTATTGCAGGTCTCCTTAAAAGGGAGGGAGTCCCACAATAGGCCCCCACTCTTGCTGCCCCTGGAATCTGATCACTGTGCTAAGATGCCATAGAGCTTGAATGCCAACTGCAGTTACCAGATCATTGTTGGCATATACTGGACTATTGCCTGATATCTAAAGCATGAAACATCTAGAGCAATAGTTTTGGTAATCCCACCCAGAGCACCTGATTGCTATGACAGGCTGTCTCACTAATCCGATACCTGATAGCTCAGCAGCAGGCTAACAGACCGACTCTGTCCTGATATGCCTGAACAGTTCATACTGCTCTATTGCTTTACTGCCTCACAGTGAAGCAGTCCAACAATGCTCTCTGATTGGCCCCCAGGCTGACTGATCACCTTTGGAGCCGATAGCGTTAATGACTTGTCATAAAGTTTATCTATTTTGCTTCTACATACATACCTGTGTCTAAATCTTTACTTTTTATTTTTTTCTATTTGACAGAAATTTGGAATGGGTATACATGTGGGGTATTTCACAATACGTGAAATTGAGCGTTAAAATGTAATAACTAAAATAAAAATGTTATGCCATAATTTGGCAGAAATTGGTGATGAAACAACCTGGCAAAAAGACTCCAAATGCGCAGTATTAAGTAACTGAAATTGTCTTATTTTGCAAATGATATGCCAGGATAGGAGTAAAATGCAGTTGGAGATGGCTACAATTTTGTCCAAAAAGTGACATGGTCCCAGTAAAACAACTGTTAAAATTGGATATCTGAATTGATATGTCTTGAATTTGTCACTGTAATTGCCGTCACCGGTGTGTTTTATCCCATCACCTACTGCTAGTGTTGTTGTGCCAAGCGGTATATCTCCTTGAGCAAGCTACAGGAATGGCATGGCCTCTAAAATGGCAAATACCAATTGCTCACCCAACTCCAGAGGCCAGTTGTCTTGTATTCTGACCAGTCTGAAACAACAAATCAGATCCGTGGAGGCACCACCAGATAACCGATACTTTGTGCCAGATACCACGGGACATGTTCCGAGGTGGAGTGGGGGGTTCACTTATTTATTTGCCTCAGAATTGGTATTGTGTGAAAGGAATACTATAGGCTCCAAAACAACCTTAGCTTATTGAAGCAGTTTTGGTGTATAAAACATGCTCCTGCAGTCTCCCTGTTCAATTCTCTGCCATTTAGGAATTAAATCACTTTGTTTATACAACCCTAGTCACACGTCCTTGCATATGGCTTGCAGAGCCTTCCTAACACTTCCTGTAAAGAGAGATCTAATGTTTAAACTTCCATTATTGCACATTCTCTTTAAACTAGAATTTTGTATCTCCTGCTTTGTAAATAACTTTCTAGACCCTGCAGGAGTCACCTGTGTGTGTGATTAAAGTTCAAGTTCTATTGTGTAGTTCTAATAATCAGTTCACCACAATTCTCTCTTTAGCCATTAACCCCTTAGCGACCCAGGACGGTTCAGGACCGTCATCGGCATTTTTGCCTTGAGGACCGATGACGGTCCTGAACCGTCCTAACGGTTTCCGTTACTTACCTGATCGCCGTCGTTCCCCCGGCGGCGATCATCATTGCTCCGGTTGTGGGGAGACTGCCTGCAGCCCAGACAGTCTCCCCACACTGAATTAGGACCCCCTGTGGCCATGTGATCGCTTAACACAGCAATCACATGGTTACAATAGGTGTCCATGTGTCTGCCTGCAGGGGGACTGTCTGTGCTGACAGGCAGTCTCCCTGCTAGTGTAAAATCAATAAAAAATAAATAAAGTTAGTGTTAACAAAAAAAAATTAATAATAATTATATATGTGTATATATGATATATAGACATATATTATATCTATATAATATATGTCTATATCATATATATATATATATATATATATATATATATATATATATATATATATATATATATATATATATATATTGCCATACTAAGTGTATTTTTATATTAATATGTACTTATATTAATATAAAAATACACTTATAATTAAATTACACACGTGTGTGTATATATATATATATATAATAACTATATATATTGTATATATTATTATAAAATATAAATAATAAGTAATTTAAATTAAATAAAAAAAATTTAAAATAATAATAAAAAAATTAAAAAAATTATATCTATATGAAATTTTATTCTAACTGTATTTTTAAATTAATATATATATATTTATATCAAAATACACTTTGAATGAATTTGTATATATATCTATGTATATAAAAATAAATAAAAATAATAAGAAATATACATATGTCCATATACAAAATTACATAAATAATTATATAAATATACACGTAGACTTCAGATATATAAATATGCATATATATTTAAATTCTACGTGCGTATTTATGTAATAGTTTTACATAATTCAGTAATTTTATTGATTGCAATTTAAGGGACCTACCTGCCAACCCAGGCTGAAATTCCAGAGAATTGAATTTGCTAGCACTGTATTTTACCCTGTAACGTTCTACGACACCCTAAAACCTGTACATGGGGGGTACTGTTTTACTCGGGAGACTTCGCTGAACACAAATATTAGTGATTCAAAACAGTAAAACATATCACAGCGATGATATTGTCAGTGAAAGTTACTTTTTTTGCATTTTTCACACACAAACAGCACTTTTACTGATATAATTGTTGTGATACGTTTTCCAGTTTTTAAACACTAATATTTGTGTTCAGCGATGTCTCCCGAGTAAAACAGTACCCCCCATGTACAGGTTTTATAGTATTTTTGAAAGTTACAAGGTCAAATATATGGGTCAAATATTTTACATTGAAAATGGCCAGGTTGGTTACGTTGCCTTTGAGAGCGTATGGTAGCCCAGGAATGAGAATTACCCCATGATGGCATACCATTTGCAAAAGAAGACAACCCAAGGTATTGCAAATGGGGTATGTCCAGTCTTTTTTAGTAACCACTTGGTCACAAACACTGGCTAAAATTAGCGTTCAATTTAGTTTTTTTACTTTTTTCACACACAAACAAATATGAATGCTTACTTTGGCCAGTGTTTTCGACTAAGTGGCTACTAAAAAAGACTGGACATACCCCATATTGAATACCCTGGGTTGTCTACTTTAAAAAAAATATGTACATGTGGGGTGTTATTCAGAGATTTATGACAGATAATAGTGTTACAATGTCACTATTGATAAATTTAAAAAATTTATGTTTTGAAACCGCAATATTCTACTTGTACCTATAGCCCTATAACATGCAAAAAAGCATGTAAACACGGGGTATTTTTAAACTCAGGACAAAATTTTGAATCTATTTAGCAGTTTTTTTAATTCGCTTTTGTAGATGAGTAAAAGATTTTTCAAGTAAAAGTCAAAAAACATGTATTTTTTTCAATTTTTCATCATATTTTTTTATTTTTTTTAAATTAAAATACATGAGATTATATAAATAATGGTATGTAAAGAAAGCCCCTTTTGTCCTGAAAAAAACAATATATAATTTGTATGGGAACAGTAAATGAGAGAGCGGAAAATTCCAGCCAAACACAAACACCACAAAAGTGTAAAAACAGTCCAGTCCTTAAGGGGTTAAACACTCTTGTATTTCACATGCCACTGTTTAAAAAATATTTTTACATCCCAAAATAGTCAGTTATTTCAATATAAACTTAGTGTATGCAATAATTGTTCCTAAAGTAAAGAGTACTATTGCAGATAGGAATTAAGTTTATAGTCTTAGTGTGTGTGTGTGTGTGTGTGTGTGTGTGTGTGTGTGTGTGTGTGTGTGTGTGTGTGTGTGTGTGTGTGTGTGTGTGTGTGTGTGTGTGTGTGTGTGTGTGTGTGTGTGTGTGCATAATATATATAATTTTCTTTTAATTTTTTTTTTTTTTTTTTTTACCCCTGCCAGGTGTGTCCAACTACAATGAAATTAAGGGTGTGAGCATTGATGAGTTCCTGCCCCCTCACCTGGCTATCTATGTGGATGTTCCAGCTGTCGATGTACACAAGAAAATCCAGGAGAGAGCAAATGTAACTGCACATGTCTAGGTTATTTACTCATTCTGTTTTCGTGTTCAGTATCCGTTTATTAACCCCTTAAGGACCAAACTTCTGGAATAAAAGGAAATCATGACATGTCACACATGTCATGTGTCCTTAAGGGGTTAAGAGAGATCAGCAGAAAAACTATTTAACATCACAGTTAGGGCCTAATGTCAGGAATAAGGTAAATTAGCAATTCTTAAAGGAAACTACAACAACATTTGCCAGATAACAAATTGTGTTAGTACAGAGTTGTATTGTTGCCTTATGTGAAACATTTATGCATGTAGAAAAAAATAAATAAAAATTAAGTGTGTATTCATTTATTTAGATTTTTACAACTCTGGAATTTACTCCATTTGTTGGTCCCATACTGTTTTTGTAGTTGACTCCCTATAGGTTTTTGCTCCATGTGCCTTCTGAACCTTTTCTGTTTTGCCACTTTGTGTATTGCTTTATGGAGCTCTAGTGTGTCTCCTTTTCATGTTGCAGGCTTCTGAGAAGAAAGTTTCCCTGTCATACCTTCAGAGTATTGAAGACGCCTACAAAACTTCTTTCCTACCACAGATCAGGTTAGATTTTAAGGATGGTGTACGCCAAGCATGTCAAACTCCTAGGCCAACACTGGCCAAATAAACAAGGTTTAGGTTTATGTGGACCGCAAATAAACAAAAACTTCAGTTTTCATAGAAACAAAGGTTTATTTTGAAAAGTATAGTATAAAAAAAAAAAAACGTTGCCTAACTGACACTGGACGTCCTCACACTCGTATGGCTTCAAAGTAAACAAAAGAGCGAATTTATTTTAAGGAGACCTGCATTTGCATATAACTAATGTTTCAGTCCAACTACTTTGACATGTTAAGAAAAGTTTAATGTAACTGAAATGATGAATGTATGCTGTTGCACAGCTGTAAAACAGCCAAATATAGAATGGGACAGCGGATAAGAACCATTCGGCCCATCTAGTCTGCCCAATTTTTTCCCAAAATACTTTTTCTTAGTCCCTGGACTTATCTTAAGTCTTGGATAGTCTTATGTCTATCCCACGCATGCTTAAACTCCTTTACTGTGTTAACCTCTACGACTTCAGCTGCAAGGCTATTCCATGCATCCACTAACCTCTCAGTAAAGCAATACTTCCTGATATTATTTTTTAAACCTTTGCACCTCTAATTTATCTCCTCTTGTTGTGGTAGTTTTTCTTTTTTTAAATAGTCTCACTCTCTCCCCCAATTTAATACACTGGCCCCCTCCCTCACTCACATTAATACATTGCACTCCTCACTAATTCAATACACTACTCATAATGGCCCCCAAACCCCTCTCCCCCTATCTTAAGATGAGCCGCCTGTCCTCCAGTTCTAGCTCTGCTCATATTCATTGTGGGCCCATTGCTGTCCGCCTTTCCTGCTTCTATTCTAAATATGCTACAAATTATGGCATGTTTTGCTGTTGTGGTTCCTGATCATTTCTTTTTGTTCTTTCTAGTGAGACCTCTGAAGTCTTGCAGTATTCAGGCAGTGAAATTCAGGATGTGGAGAAGGTAAGAGTTGCTGCGTAGAAGAAAGAATTGCTGGATTTGTACGTAAAAACATCGTAGCTTGTATTTCCTTATATTACCTTGTACCTATGTCTCCTAGGTTATTGAAGATATTGAATACCTAAAGTTTGACAAGGGACCATGGACAGAGCAGAATGATGTCACCTTACACCATCTACGTATGCTGTGAGTATTAATTATATCTTAGTTGAGTCAGGGTTTTGACTGGTTTGCTATTGCTGACTATATTGTTTGTCCCCCCCCCACTGCCCCCAAAATTACCCAACTCACAGTATGCATATACATGAAGGTTTTTTTTTGTTTTTTTTTCTTCTGTGATGACTAAATTGTGCAGAGATAGCAAGAGAGAGATAGATATATTATATTTGGTGGTTGGCTGTGCTATTAAGATGGGCACATTTTATAATATGTAAGAGAACCGTACCATACAGTTTTTATACAAGAACTGTGAATTACTTTGTGATTCTGTGACGCCATGATTCATACACAATCATCAGAAAAGCTATACATATTTTTCCCATATCGGGTAGCTCTGCAAGTAACTAGGTTTGGAACCAAGACCTGCAGCTTAAGTGGTTTAATATGCATGTCCATATTTTCCACAAATCTGTTTGCAACAGATTGTATATAAACTGCATGTAAAAACACAGGCCATTCAGTGCTCTCTCTCCTCAAAAAAAACAACATATTGAGTGCTTATTTCCCCTAATTAGATGTTTAAAAAAAAAATAAACTTCAAATATCCTTTGAAACACCCTGTGCATATCCTATTAGTTCTTTACAGCTGGGTATATTATTACCCACCCATTCTCTGTGCAGTTTATATATACCAGCTGTTTAAGTGACAATAAAGGAAGAGGATAGAACCACACAATGCATTAACTGCATACATAATTAATGCACAATCAGAAATTGCAACTCCCAAACTATGCAGTAACAGTCACAAGCGGTGGATCTGTTGTATAAACAGTTCATGCAGCTGTGCCTTTCATCTTCTCATAAATACTGCTATATCCATCACAGGGGATGAAACAAAATCAGTTTAATTTAGTTTACGTAGATACTGATACACTAGAAAATATTACACCTTTTATGTGGGTTATCTGTGTTGACAGCATAGATTTTCCAACGGTTCCTCTCCGCATGATCCCTGTCTTTAACTCTGGGAGGATTAATCTTAAGGGCTGCATCACATCTGTCATGCACGCAAGTACAGGAGTCTATGGGAGATCCTGCATATCTGACTCTTCTTGGATCACTTCATATAAACATAAATGAGATGTCGTAGACCACAACTGATGATGGAAAATGTCAGGATGTGGTGGCAGATGTTCCTACTAATGCCACATGTTGCCAAAAATTGTCTTGTCCATAAGACAAAGTAGTGCCTATTTTGACTGTATTGAAATATCAATAACCCTCCAGTGCAGTGTTTTGAATTTGTGAATATATATATATATATATATATATATATATATAATATGTATGTATGTATTCCCTGGTATCGCCGGGTGCATGGGCCAGCTGACAAAGTAGATATAGTAACCAAAAAGATGATGGCTGCACTCCTCGGTGGCCTTATGTTAAAAATCCAAAATGCTTTATTTAATATACATATAAAAAAATCAACGTTTCAGCCCCAATCTGGGCTTTCTTCAGGATCAGGAAAAAACAAAAATACCATACAAACACTAATTCAACTTATATACCATAAATGAAAATAGATAGACTCACCACAGCTGATGCGCCCGCCCACCCGGCGTCCTGCCGATCGCTGTGCGCAACTGTCCAATCAAAGGACACTCGCGGTATGACGTGGTTTGTACAACCTTGCGAGTGCCCTTTGATGTTAGTGTTTGTATGGTATTTTTGTTTTTTCCTGATCCTGAAGAAAGCCCAGATTGGGGCTGAAACGTTGATCTTTTTTTTTATATGCATATTAAATAAAGCATTTTGGATTTTTAACATAAGAAGACCATATTTTTTTGGTTAAAAAAAAACTAAATAAATAAATATATATAAATATATATATATATATATATATATATATATATATATATATATATATATATATATATATATATATATATATATATATATATATATATAATATATATTCTCTCTCAAGAGGGGGTTGGCTGCACTCACCTTAACATGCATAAATGGGGGTGCTGCTGGGGGCCAAATAATACAATACACAAGATCCAGCGCACTCACCTATCCACTAAACAGCAACTTCAATGTTGAAAAATAAGTAGGTTAATCTCATAAGAGCAGACATTAGGCTGTTAGTGTAGGACCTGCCAAAGATGGGGTACATTGACGTTGTCTATGGCTTATGCAATGTATGATCATATAATGTAACTAAACACCCATTATTTTTGCCTAGATTAGGTGTTTTTAAAAAAACAAATAAAATCTTTCAACATTGAAGTTGCTGTTTAGTGGATAGGTGAGTGCGCTGGATCTTGTGTAATAAATATATATATATATATATATATATATATATATATATATATATATATATATATATATAATCTATATCTCTTTTATGAAAATCCTTATGGGAAAAACTCAGAAGTGACAACGTTGCTAAAAGTAATGCTTTATTTTTTTGTAAGTATATTGCACTAATCTTTTATAGTTTGTGCAGAATTATTTAACCCCTTAAGGACGCATGACGGAAATTTTCCGTCATGACGGTCCTACCCTTAAGGACACATTTTTCCGTCATGCAGTATTTTCCCAGCAGGGTCTTTTACCTTGCTGGTAACTATGAGCCCCAGGTATCATTTGATTCCTGGGGCTCCCCTCTGTCAGCTGGGGCCATTTTTACTGGCCCCAGGCTTTTTGATGAGCTGCATGCAGAGCTCAAAGTGAGGTCGGCAAACAGCTCTTTTAATGGGGATTTAAATTCCCAAAGACAGCAATGTAGTGTGAGCAGGGTTAAATCTCTGCTCACACTAGGAAACCTAGGTATCAATAGATACCTGGGGCTTCCCTCTGTCAGCTGGGGCCATTTTTAGTGGCCCCAGACTTTTTGATGAGCTGCATGCAGTGCTGAAAGTCAACACTGCATGTAGCCATTTAGATCCACAAAGAACACTGCAGCTGAGCAATCAAGCTCAACTACAGTCATTCTCTCAAGTGATCTGGTGCTTGGGAGACCCCCAGTGTCTGAACAGACCCTGGAGGGTCCTCCTCTATGCCCCAATGCAATTCTGATCAGTGCTGGGCATTTTCAGTTGCCCAGCACAGATCGCATTGCATTGGGCATAATGTCTTCAATGTAAGAGATGGGAGACTGCAATACTGAAAATAGCCAGTAGATGGCAGCAGCATACCACTGTCTTTTTTTAGTTTAAAACCCCTTTACTAATATCAGTACTGATATTAGTAGAGGGAAACCTTTGGGATTAAGGATTACAATTAAGGATTATTATTCGGTTTAGAATAAGTACTAGATTTATTATCAGGTTTATTGTTAAATTTATGTTTAAGATTAGGTTTATAATTAATTGTAGTATTGGGATGATGTTTTAGATTAGGATTCAGATTATGGTTCCGATTAGGATTAAGGTCAGCACGGGCATCCCTTGCTGGATATAGCAAGTAAATTCCTCTGCTGACACCAGCAGGGGGAATCATTTTAACACTATTGCTAAAGGTGGGATTGAGATTAGGATTAACGTTATAATTCAGGTTACACATGGGATTACGTTATGGGTTAGGATTGTGGTAAAGGTTTAATATTAGATTGAGGGTTAGATTTGGGATTAGGATTTGGTTTAGAATTAGGGCTTGGTTTAGGATTAGGGATTTAGATTGGGATTAAGATTAAGATCGCTACTTTCCAAAGATATACATATGGGATATATTTGTACTGAGCAGATGTTGCTGAGTACAGCTAAGATAATTTTATGACAGTGGGACACACGAGATTTAAAAAATAAGCATCAAAAACACTGTGTATGTAAAAATGTTAAAATAAAAATAAATACTACAAACTTTGTAACAAAATGTCACTTCAATAAAGCTTATAATGTTTTATGTGAGAGTCCCCATGGTGTCCACTTTTGTAAATGGTATGCATTGGTGGCGTAATTTAAATATATGAGCAACTAAAATGCCCCAAAATGAAACAAAGACCCATTGTCAACTTGCCATTTAAAAAAAACTGTGCTGGGTATGATTTTAGCCCTGTATTTTTTTTTTCACAAAAACCTGGCTAAGGTATACAAAGGGGGAATATATACTCAGGAAATATAGCTGAGAATAATTTAGTGATTTAATTTACAGTAGTATATATCAAGTGTCCAAAATTAACCACTAAAATACATTTTTTTTTGTGTGATTTTTTTTTTTATTTTTTATTTATAATAAATAAGAATTTATATATGTATATGTCACATCAGATTAAAGCCCTTTTTTTCCTTTAAAAAATGATACATAACTTGTGTTGGTGCAATAAATAGGAAAAATGCAAACGGAGGTTGAACACAAACAGCAAAAAATGCTTGTGTCCTTAAGGGTAGGTCCAGTTTTTGAAGCTGCGTCCTTAAGGGGTTAATAATCTGGCTGTATATAAAACCATTGTTATGTCAGCGATTCTATCTCAGTAAAGGGACTCCTCAGCTATTTTTAATTTCACAAGTTTTTCTGCAAACATTTGTGTGTACATACCCCTCTACAGCTTCTCTCTGCAAGACCTCTCTTTATTGTCTTAAATGAATGAGATCTGCAACCGTACAGAACCTTATGGAAAATATCTTCTAATTTTGCTTGTGTTTTTTTTTTTGTAGGGTGGAGGACAAGGACCAAGTTTGTAGCATGCTTACTTTACCCTTGTACCTTCCAGAAGTCACAATTGGAGCTATGGATTATGATGCTGCATATTATCAGTACAGATCGGTAAGTGAGGCACATTGATTTGCAGAACTTCTGTTGTCATTAAAGGAACACTCAAAGTACCATAACCACTACATATCTCCCACTGATCACTCTCAGCTGCATTGCAGGACTTGGCTTAGGAGAGCTAACAGAAGTTCCTTCTTAGGGACTTTGGGCTGTCATGCAATGATAGTGGGACTGGGCTGGGCACAGTGCTTGGCAAACCCCAGCTAAGAAGTCATAAACGTTCAAAAAAAGGTTTGACTCCTTAGAATGGTAGGGTAGGATGACACTAATGGCACCAAGTTGTAGTGTTTATGGTGTTTAGAATTGTTCCTTTACTAGAATATATAACTGTAACCAAAACTCTTAATTGTTATATACAAGAATTATATTTTGTAGAGCAAATTAAAATCCAAACCACAAAACTGAGGATAATATAAACAAGCTATGATTTATCTGCCACCCCCACCCCCCATTCTTGTGATTTAGATTTTCATTTGCAACAGTTTTGTTTTAATTTAGTGAATAACCTCATCTGAATTCAGCTGTATTTTGAAATCACCCAATGAGAATATAGCTTTTACTTTAAAATTCCTTTCTCTAATTCCTCTTTAATACTTTCAATAACATGATTTTTTTTTGCAGCAGCAGTATCCTGTGGAACAGAAACGTTTCATACTTTTATTTTTTTGTATATTCTTGTCTGTGTGTTACGTGACCACTTAACCAAACTATCCTCATATATTATACAGTAGCTAATTGTTTTTTGAGTTTATGGCCCATAATTGACAGAATATGTCAGGTTCCTATGGAATTTATGCTATACCTCTCTGTTTTCTTTGTTTTTGCAGCTGCCTGGTAAGAAATATGCTGATGGATACAATGCAGATGTTGGGGATAAGTACATCTGGCTGAAGTAAAAGCGTTCTGATGGGCAAATCAGAAATCATTGTTCCCACCATGCAAACACACTTTCACTATGTGAATGGGCCAGGTTTCTGCCATGCTGAGCAGGAATCGCTGATGTCCCCAGGACTACAACCTGAACTTTATTACATTCTGTTTTTGTTTGCGCCCAAATTTAAATAAAAACCTATTTAAAGTAACTGATTTGCAATTCATGTGTTTGATTACAATTAACAATGGACTAGAGCTTGGAGAAACAATAAGGTATTAGATCCGATCGGTTCACCAAATAGCAATGAGAAGGTGAGTAATCTCTTAGACTTGAGGAATTTCCAGGTTACCAAAAGAGTGTGTACACAGTGTCTACATTGTACCATGTGGTATATATTGCGTTTTGTTTTTTACTGTATAAGTTATTTTCTGGGATTTAAGAGCCCATATAATATATTATACAGTTTAACATTAAAGGACCACTTTATTAATCAGGCCAACTGTAATGTGTTTTAAGCCTTACAATAAAGTGAATCTGGTTTTCCATTGATGTTCAATGTTTTAGAGTTAAAAACAAACACTCAATGTATAGTTCTCTGAAAAAACAGCTTGGCTTGGCTGGTCAGTTGTAAAAACAGCAGAAAACGGAACGGAAAACGGGCGGCGGGAGTGATCGGAGATCACTTCCGCTGAAATCCCGTTTTTACTATCTGCCCGGCATCCCAGGCCGATAGTAACAGCCAATTGCGGCATGTGAGTGATCCGCGATCGCTCACAATTGGCTGGTGTCAAAGTGGGTGTTACACTCACTTTGACACTGATCTCTGCCCCTCTCTCCTCTGTAGCGTTTTGTGAGGGGAGAGAGACAGAGATCGTGATAGTTTGTTGCAGCAGGTGTTCCAGAGAGTATTAAAAAGTATCAGCAGTTAATAAAAATTCCCCTTTAACCCCTTCCCTGCCAGATCTGTTACAGACAGTGCATTTGTACTGTCTGTATTTTAATTTTTTTGCCCTTAAGGGTTAACTTTATTTTAAAAAATCTGTGTCTTAGTCTGTCGTAGTCAGTCAGTTTGCTTCCCCCAAATCTCCATTAGATTCTTCTAACAGGAGTAAGTTTAGGGATTACTGTTTTAGTCTGTTTTAGTGTTTTTAAAAGAAAAAAAAAAAGTTTTTATTGTGTTTAGTATTTTGTTAGTTTAGTCTGTTAGTGTGAAACATGCAGCGCATGTACAGCTTGGAGGAGGCATATGCCTTCTTGGCGTCAGACTCTGACGCCACTGACACTGCGTCCGATTTTGACCCAGGTCAGTTTAGCGGCACGTCTAGTGACATGTCATCTGTGTGTGAGCCAGCTGCTAAAAGAAGCTGTGCTTCCTCTGCTACGCCGAATGTGGAGGAGGACTGGGTACCTCCACAGTCAGCTGAGCCCAACATCCCCCCTTTTAGTGCCAACGCAGGCATTAATGTGAATGTGGTTGACTTCTCTCCTATACAATATATGGAGTTATTTTTACGGGTTACCATCTGGGAGGAGATTGTTTCCCAGACTAATTTATACGCTAGCCAATTTATTGAGACCAATCCAGGGAGCATGCTTGGCATCCCACAGATGTCCCTGAACTTAAAACATTCTGGGCTCTGACCATGCTCATGGGGATAATAAAGTAGCAATCAATCGGCTTTTACTGGAGCACCAACTCAATTTGTTCGACTCCTATATACTCCCAAACACTGCCTAGACCAAGATATGAGCTGCTGCTGAGATACTTACATTTCAACGACAATATGCTCTGTCACCCCACAGATCACCCTCAATATGATAGGCTTCATAAAATACGCCCACTGGTAGACCATCTTCAGAACAGATTTTCTGAAGTTTATACTCCCTGTAACGGAGCTCCCTGTACTCCGACCGAGTACCCTCCGTTGACGGATGCTCCTAGCGCTTCCTGAGGACTCCAAACACTGCAGCCGACACCACAACCACCGCAGACTCCACAACCGCCGTAGCTTAACTGGAGTCTCGCCGTCTTCCTTCCACCCTGGATCAGCTTCTGTCCTCCAGGACCGTGTGGGGAAGACCTCTCCTCCAGGAGAGCGTAACAGGAACAGCTCTTAAAAGAGCTAAGTGATTAAAAGCTCAGGGGAGTATGCAGAGCATAGCAATCCCCAGTGTGATATAGCAGTTCCCTCCAATAACGAGACAAGGCTACGTATTGAGGGTCAAGAAGATCTGATGTTTAATGGCACACACTCTGCTTTTATGAGATTCTGCCCATGCAAGGGAGACACCCACATAATTAGCAGTATAACCAATCGGAACAATATACATTCGGGGAAATTCCCATCCCTCAGATAATCACATAACATAATTAAAACAGAACAGTAAAAATACAGTTTTTATACATGTACTATAACTTCCAAACTACACATCCAATCTTCATAAAAATTACATATTTGGAATCAATCCATTAAGGGGAGCAACATATTAAAAAATGGCACAAATCAGACAAGGGGTTCAAAAGTTAGCAAAAGTGTCTTTTGGGGCCTGGCTGGCAGCATGGTTTTCTGGCCCAAACCGGTTTTACAGAGGCCTCTATCCTGGACAATGGGGAAAGTAATCCAATTATCCAGGGATAGAGGCAGACTCCATTAACCACATGTTAGCAAAAGACACAAAAAGACACAAAAAGACACAAAAATACATAACTCCTATTGAACTGAACAGAACCCCCACATTCAACCTATCCCCAGATGGCTTGGATCTGAGCGCTCAATATATCCAAACAGCGCTCAGATCCCACAAATACAGTCAAATCGCCATACACACTAGGTCCATAGTCATGGGGCAGAAGGCTGGCAATTAGGCTTCTCCATAACACAGGGAAGCAGGGCAATTTGTCAAATAAAATAACAGTTACAAATGGCAGTTTGTAACACTCCCCAACAAAATTTATCTATTGATGAATCCCTTATGAAATATAAAGGGAGATTAGGGTTCAAACAGTATATCCCCTCAAAGCAGTCTAGGTATGGCATTAAAGTGTACAAACTGTGCGAGAGCGAAAGTGGCTACACATTTGCCTTTCGTATATATGAGGGGAAAGATGCTCAACTGAACCCTCCTGGCTGTCCTGACTCTCTGGGGACAAGTGGGAAACTTGTTTGGACCTACTGATCCCCTTGTTCAATAAGGGTTACCACCGTTATGTGGACAATTTTTACAGCAGTGTCCACTTGTTTAAAATTCTTTATAGTTTGCAGACACTGGCCTGCGGCACTGTAAGAAGAAATGCCAAGGATTTCCCCAGACCTCTCATAGAGGCCAAATTAAAAAAAGGTGAATGCAAAGCTCTGCGCAAAGCTGAACTGCTTGCGCTAAAATTTAAGGACAGGAAGGATGTTCACATGCTAACAACCATCCATAACGAAGGCATGTCAGACGTCACTGTCCGAGGCAGGGCACAGACAAAACCGGTTTGCGTCAGGGCTTATAACAGGCACATGGGGGGTGTTGATTTGGCTGATCAGCTGATGCAGCCATATCTTATCTTAAGAAAGACAAAAGCCTGGTATAAAAAGGTGGCTATCTACTTGTTGCAAGTAGCAACACATAATTTTTACTCTAAAAAAATGAATCCAGGAAGAACCACCTATCTCCAATTTCAGCTCAAGCTGATTTCCACAATAATTTATGGAGATGGTCAAGTTCCAACAACGGTGCAAGAGGAGTCTAGACATTTTATTTTTAAGATACCGCCAACACCAAAAAAAACAAATCCCCAGAAACGTTGCCGGGTCTGTTATAAAATAGGGAAAAGGACAGACACCCCTTTTCACTGTCCCGATTGCCCTACAAATCCTGGACTGTGTATTGGAGCATGTTTTAAGGTCTATCACACAGAAAATAAATTTTTATAATACTTGTTCCTGATTTATTTTTTTTTGTTTATTTTGAAAGCAGCAAATTTCTGTTAGTCAGTATCCTTCCCCCAAATCTCCAGTTAGATTCTTTTTGCAGGAGTTAGTTTACAGATTGCTGCTAACAGAAGTTTTAGTCTCATTTAGTCTATTTTTATCAGTTTTAGTCTGTTTTTAGTATAAAATTAAAATAAATTGTGTGTTAGTAACTCTGTGTTAGTCAGACTCTGACGCCACTGACACTGCGTCAGATTTTGACCCAGGTCAGTTTTCTGACACATCTACTGACATGTCATCTGTGTGTGAGCCGGCTGCAAAAAGAAGCTGTGCTTTCTCTGCTACGCCGAGTGTGGAGGAGGAACAGGTTTCTCCACAGTTAGCTGAGCCCCAAATCACCCATTTTAGTGCCAACACAGGCATTAATGTCAATGTGGATGACTTCTCCCCTATTTAATATATGCTTTTTTTAGGGGATATCATCTGAGAGGAGATTGCTCCCCAGACTAATTTATATGCTACCCAATTTATTGATACCAATCCAGATAGCTATGCAGTCAGGGAGGAGTGTGCTTGGTATCCCACAGATGTCGCTGAACTTAAAAAATTCTGGGCTCTTACAATTCTCATGGGGATTATAAAGAAGCCATCTATTCGCTCTTACTGGAGCACCAACCCAATCTGTTCTAGTCCAGTGTACTCTCAAACCATGTCTAGAACAAGATTTGAGCTGCTGCTGAGATACTTGCATTTCAATGACAATACCCTCTGTCACCCCAGAGATCACACCCAATATGATAGGCTTCATAAAATACACCCACTGGTAGACCATCTTCAGCACAAATTTACTGAAGTTTATACTCCTCAAAAAAATGTATCTATTGATGAATCGTTAATGAAATATAAAGGGAGATTAGGATTCAAACAATACATCCTCTTAAAGCGCTTTAGGTATGGCGTAAAATTCTACAAACTGTGAGAGAGCGAAAGTGGCTATACATTTGCCTTTCGTATATACAGGGCCGGACTGGGAGAAAAATTCGGCCCGGGCATTTTTTTAACACAGCGGCCCACTAAGAAGGGGGCGGGGCAGAGGAGGTGTGTTTTGTCATCACCAATGACAAACACGCCCCCTCTCAAAGTGAGCATGTTGGTTCAATGCTCTTCCAGGGCAGACCATGCGCAGAGCTCTGCTGAAGAGCTCTAGCATGAGAAAAAAACTCTGTATTTGTTCTGCACAGTGCAAGCAAATTTAATAACATGCTTGCACTGTGTTTCCTTGCAACTTGTCTCTG